GTCTTGGTCAGGGAGCTAAGAGTCTGCAAGCTGTGTGTCACAGCCAAAAAAGAGAAAACTTAGATGCAACAAAACCTGGAAATATTGTTGTTTATACAGGTTGCTTGTTAAAATAAAATTCTAAGTATATTACTCTGAAATTTTTAATTGTTTTTCTGGCCCCCAAGTGAAGTGCAGAATCAGTACCATGGCTTGGCTCCTGCCTGCCTCCTCCACTCTTCTTTCCTTAAGCTCCAGCCACACAGGACTTCTTCCTATGGGTCCTCCCAGGCCCAAGGCCTTCCTTCCAAGAGGCTATCTCCTCCATCTTGACCAGTCTCACCCCAAATTGTTGCCTGGGTGTCATCTGTTCACTTTTCAGGTTTGTCAGACAAACTGTCCCCTTTTCCCCCAGACAAGATCTTGTTAAAATGAAGATTCTGATTCTGTCAGTCCAGGGTGGAGCCTAAGGTTCTGCATTTCTACCAATCTCCCAGGTGATTTTGATGCTGTCAGTCCAACAACCATATTTTGAGTAAGACGCTTTGGAGCTCATGAAGTCCCTTGTTAAACCACACACACTCACACACACACACACACACACACACACACACACACACACACACATCCTTTGGAATATAAGGAAACCATTTAAAATGTCTATAGCTTATGGTTCATTTTTTAAAAAGCAAATTGTAAAGCTTACATTGAGTTGACCTTTAGGGAATTATGTATGTATGTACATGTATATGGGCCCAGAGGTATATCTAGGAAGATGTTTATGAATATAGGAACTTTAGTTGTCTCTTGATGATGAGCCATTTGAGGGAAATGCAAGATTCAACCCACTGGGAATCAGATAATACTGTAGTATATATTTAGTGAAAGAAATCCACATATAAGTGGACTCACGCAGTTCAAACCCATGTTGTTCAAGTGTCAACTGTATATACACACATACATATAAAATACTTACAGCTCTTCATGTGCTTCCATAGAACCCTATGATTCCTTATCATAGTACTTAACACACTGATTCACAATTGCCAGATCCTTCACAACTGTATCTAGTTCACTATGGTATCCCCAATATATTGCACAATTACTGCATGTCAACAATTATTGAATATATGGTTAATATCCATCTAAGAATGCTTCCCCTTTCCCCCCCAGGATGTTGCTGTATCTGATGGATCTCCTGGAACCGTGACCACTCTGGCCATTATCAGGGAAGCTAACCTAGGAAAGACAGAATAAGCAGAATAGGAAGAACAAGGTCTTTCAAGCTGTCAGTGAGCCAATGACTTAACCAACTCTGGATCAATCTACACTAGGACTTCTGGTTACATGAGAATAAACACCCTTGTTGTTGCTGGTGTTTGAGTTAGAAAGCATCACCAGTGACAGACTGAGTAAACAAAAGAATGAATGCCTGACCACTGGCATAAGAAAGCCGACTCCCCTATAACGGAGTTAAAGTCTTGTCCTGGAGACTTCAAAAATTGCTTACTGTTCTTAAGACACTCAAGGTGATAAAACAAGCAAAGTCTTGATAATCTAGAAGCTAGACTACAGTTATCTTATTTCTTATTATAGTTTTCTAGATAAACTGGACTTTCAGGCAAAAGCTGCACTTTGCAAGGAAAAAGAATCTCACTAGGGCTTCATTTAAAAACAATGACAATATTCTTAGAGACATTTCAGAGTCAATACATATTTAATCCAATCTCCTAAATGTTAGCACGTGTAAGTATAACTTGGAGACTTTTTTAAAAAGCTGATTTTTGGGCCTCACCTGGGGCGATTTTGATTCAGTGGGATGTGGTGGGATCCAGGAATCTGCATTTTAGCCAGTAATCTGATGTGGATTGTCTCAGAACACACTTCAAGAAACTCTATTCTAAAGCTTCCACTTTGTATATCTAGATCCTAACCACAAGAAATGATGTTTCACATAATAATCAAGGCAGCAGATTCAAGTGATGGAAAGATCCAGAAGATGGGAGCCATATCTGGACTTCTCTATTCACTAGACTAAGACACTGATCAGGCAAGTCTCTCAAGCTCTCTATGTCTGAATGTCCCCATTTATTAAAAACTCAGATTAACATTTCTCTGCATTGCCAGTCCTCAGACTGATTATAAAGACCAGAATGATCTCAGTAGTTGTTCTGTAAAAATATAATAAAATGCTCTTTGTTATAACTCTGGTGTTTACTGAGCTCCTTAATAAGTAAAATTATTTGTGTTGTTTAGGGTCTATTCATTAAGCAAGAAATGAGGACTCACATTTTTAGAAAGAGTATTACATGGCCAAACTGTAAAAGGGATATTGCTTAATTCCCGGTTAACCTGAGTAATTGTTAACCAGAACATCCTATTCCTAAGCATTCTAACTAGGTTTCCATGGAAATAATACACATTTATTAACAACAATTTGTGAGTAGACTTCTTATCAAAGGGAGCTTCCTTGACTTGGGCAAAAATTAATGGGCCCAACAACTCACAGAACTGGAGAAATGGTATATCTGATAAAGGATACTATCTAAAGTACATAGAGAACACCTAAAACTCAACAACAACAACAAAACAAACAATCCATTCAAAATAGGCAAAGGATTTCATAGATATTTCTCCGAGGAAGACACAGGAATAGCCAAAAAGCACATGAAAAAAATATTCAGCATCATTAATCAATAGGGAAATGCAAATCAAAACCACAAGATACTACCTCACAAACATTAGGAGGACTACTGTCAAAAAAACAAAATAGAAGGCAACAAATATTGGTACAGCAACCGTGGAGCAATATGGCGGCTGAAAAATTAAACACAGAATTACCATACGATCCAGCAATTCTACTTCTGGATACATGCCAGAAGAATTAAAAGCAAGGTTTCAGAAAGATATTTGCACACCCATGTTTATAGCAAAATTATTCACAAGAGCTAAAACATAGGAGCAACCCAAGTGTCCATGGATGGATAAACAGATAAGCAAACTGTGGTACCTTAAAAAATGGAACATTATTCAGTCTTAAAAAGGAAAATATTCAAAGTCAAAATTATTAATAAGGTATTTTGCATTCTCTTTTTTGTACTGTCTTTGAAATCCAGTTCGTATTTTACACTGAAAATATGTCTCAGTCTGGACTAGTCACATACCAGTAGCTAGTAGCTATTGTGTAAGAGTGTACAGGTCTAGCTGATTCATTTTTGAAACCCAGTGCAAACACCCCCTCACTATTTGATTTTGATCTTTCAATGTTCAAGCCTCTGTCTACATTCTTCACTCATTCATTGGTCAGCAAACACTGTCATGTCCACTGTGCACCAAGTATTATGCTAGAAAGTGGAAATACAGTCTGTGATGGTGAGAGACACCCAGAGATAGTTATGAAATAATATAAAAGAATCGTGACACAGAATGTTGTTATTGTTGTTGAGTCTCTTAAGGTAGAGTCCAACTCTCTTGTAACCCCATGAACTGTAGCTCACTAGGCTCCTCAGTTCACAGGATTTCCCAGGTAAGAATACTGGAGTGGACTGCCATTTTGTCCTCGGGGAGAATCTTCCCCACCCATAGATCAAATCCATGTCTCCTGCATTGGCAGGTGAATTCTTTACCACTGAACCAACCAGGGAAGCCCCATGACACAGAATAGATGCACTCTATTTTATGGGCACCTGAAAGGGGAAGGACTTGTAGTTTTAGAGGTGATCCTGAGCTGACTTCAAGGGCCTGTAATGTTAGCTCTATGAATAGAATGGCAAAGGGCATGTCAGAGGTGTCAGCTTGAACAAAGGCCTGAAATGAGGGATGGGGGTTCCCGGCAACCACTAAAAAGTGCCTGTTAGGGCAACGGTGAAAAAGTAAAGTGGGGAGGTAAGCAGAACCAGTGAAAAGCCTAGTGAGTCATGTTTGGCTTCTGAAATTTAAAGAAAAAATCTACACTTCTTAAAACTTCAGAAGTAACTGTCTCTTCAGGATCGTGGTGGAATGCAAAGGACACTGGATTTAAGCTTTGGCCGGTAACAGTCGCGCTCCTCTGGATTAGCTCCTCCAAGAGGGCAGGACCATCTGCTATGCTCACCACCCTGCCCCAGTGTCTGCAACACTGCCTGGCAGAGAGGGCCCTAGAAGTTTACAGAGCCGGTTCCTTCCTTCAGTCCTTTCCCCTAGTCTTCCCCTTCCGCTCAGTCCAGCGGGAGAGGGGGAAGGGCGCCAGCCCTAGCCTGCGCTTCGAAAGTCCTCCGGAGTTCAGAGGCAGGCCTCACACTTCTAGGATGTTTCCTCATCTATAAAATGGGTTCACAAGTATCCGCCGCGCCGGACTGTTGCGTAACTCAAAGGAATTAGAGAAAGCGCCTGGAAAAATGAAAAGGTGCACTTCTTGGCCTCGAGGGTAGACTGACTTGACCTGTGGACTTCAAGGCCAGGTTTCCACCCTCCCTGATGGGCATTCTCGGCCAAAGTGCAGGGTGATCGATCCCAGAGCGTGGGACGCCCAGAGCTTGGGACGCCCAGATCCGACACCCTGGGAGGTAACCCTACGCGTGACTGCTTAACGCGCCTCTCGAGGAGGCGCCACCTAAGGAGGAGGAGTGGAGGTTGCAACCGCTCCCCTCGGTGTTGTGGCTACTCCTCAGTTTCCAGGGCCCGGACGTCCGAATCCCGCAGCCCGCGCCCGGCAGACCCCCGCGGAGCAGAACGCCGCAGACCACCCCCTCCCAGCGCGTCCGAGAGGAGAAGAGGGTGGAGCGGACAGACTCCCGCAGCCAATAAAATCAGCGGGTCCCTGGTCCGATCCCCGGCGCGGCTCGCCATTGGTCGCCACCCGGGTCTCGGCCCACCGAACCTTTGCGACCCGAGCCAATCGCTAGCCGGTGAGGGGTCCTTAGGCCCGCGGGGAGCCAGCGGCGGGCGGCTGCGAGTGCTAGCAGGCGAACATCCGTTGGCCGTGACTAGCGGCGCGAGCCCGCAAACCCCCTCCCCGGTGCGGCGCGCCGGCAGGCTCCACCATGGAGCCCGCTGTGTCGCTGGCGGTGTGCGCGCTGCTCTTCCTGCTCTGGGTTCGCGTGAAAGGGCTGGAGTTCGTTCTCATCCACCAGCGCTGGGTGTTTGTGTGCCTCTTCCTCCTACCTCTCTCGCTCATCTTCGACATCTACTACTACGTGCGCGCCTGGGTGGTGTTCAAGCTCAGCAGCGCGCCGCGGCTGCACGAACAGCGCGTGCGGGACATCCAGAAGCAGGTGAGCGGCGCCGGGTGGGGCGGGAGCCAGGCGCGAAGTGGTGCGCGGCGCGGGGCAAGGGCTTCCCTGACGAGGTGGCATTTGAGCGAGATTTGAACTAAACAGAAATATGATGGGGGGGGGGGGGGGCGCTGCTTCCTGAGAGAAAGCGGAGTAAGCAAAGGCATTGAATAGAACATTGCTTCGACATTTATGGAGTGCCTACTGTGTGCAGAGTACGTGCGGGTTGTCTGGAGAGACGTAAAGAATCGCACTGAGGTAGCTCTCACCAGGCCCAGATGATTTCAGAGGAGGAGCGGGGCTTCAAGGAAGTGCACCTGGCCCTGGTGACGGGGAAGTAACGGGAATGATCCGGGGAACGTGTGAGCGTCTGAGGAGAGGGGCGGAAGGTCGGAAAGTCAGTTTGAAGCTAGGTTGCGGGCGGGGGGTTCAGTTTGGAGTTTACTCTGTAGCAAGGAGCTTTTAACGTGCTTAGATTAGAGGACTAAAGTGACTAAAGAAGGTAGCACCGCACCAGGGTGTGGAGCCTCGCAGACCCTGCGCCAGGCGCTCACTCTTAAGAAGGCAGTGTTCTCCCCTGTGTCAGCTCTCACAGAGCCCGTAAGCCTGCTGCAGCTCACAGCCGAGCTTCCTCCTTCTATGACATCGCCAGAATGGACATCAGGCATGAACATCAGGCCTGGGCAGTTTCTTGGCGCCCTCTGCCCCACATATGTTCCTCTCTTACTGGCCTCAGGTTGCAAAGAGCTTCTGTTTCCTGCTGCCACCCTCACCACAGGTGTTGCAGCCTCCATGTTCTGTTTGCTGCTGGCTGAGTGCTGCCGATAAGAGCGTGAAGAATGCGGAGAGCCATCGCTGGGAGGGATAGACCTTGGACCCGGTGGGAGCAGGCAGCATCTGGAAGCCGTTTACTCAGGCTGCCATGAATTGTGCTAGTCACGGTCACAGCTCCAGAGCCCTCCCTACTTTCGGTCTCGAATGCACCCTGTTTCCTAGTTCTTTCTGTGTGCTCAGATTCTCAATTTCCCTGCTGCTCTCCCCTATCAGAGTGTGAGCTTCTTGAAGGCAGACTGCTGACTCCTCTCTGTCCCATGAGCCCTGGCCCAAAGCAGTGCAGTGAGCACTTATGAACCTCAGCTAAACCAAAGGGCTTCCCCGTGGCTCAGTGGTAGAGAATCTTCCTACAATGCAGAATCCCTGGGTCAGGAAGGTCCCCTGGAGAAGGAAATGGCAACCTGCTCCAGTATTTTTTTCCTGGGGAATCCCATGGACAGAGGAGCCTGGCAGGCTACAGTCAGTACATGGAGTCACAGAGTTGGACACAACTGAGCGACTAAACAGCAACATTCGGGACAGGAAGACAAGGGGCATTGCCAGACCAACCCACTGCCGTGGCCCTACCCTGGGCCACATTCTGTGCCACTGATGTTCAGTATTTTTCATCCTCACCGCAATACTGATAGGTCTTTGTGGGGGTTTTTTGCTTTTATTATTTTTTTTGGTGGCACTTTTTCCTGGACTATAAGTTTTTGTTTCTTCAGTTTCTTCTGGTATATCCTTTTCTTTCATGCAACATCCTCTTCTGGTTTAAGAACAAGCTGCTGTTTATCAGTAAGGATCATCTCAGTATGGCAGAGAGAATTCATGTTCAGGTCGATCTGACCATGAGCTCTGTAAGTCCTGAGCTGCATCTTGAGGCTCAATGACCAGAAAAGCTACATCTAAGCCCTTAAATTCACCATTACTCTCTGCATTTTTGAGCATGTGCAGTAAGGATATTCAGCACTTTTTTGGGGCCACCAACCATGTGTCCAGCCCCACTGTTTGGCCTGGGCCCACCTACAAGCTCCACCATTGTAGTGGCAGAATGGCACACACTGCTTCTGTAGAGTGACATCCTTCAGAGACTTGGTGGCTTTTGGATATGTATACTCTTAATGGCCTGGGCAGTTTCACAGGTGTTCTTAAAGTGAACACCAAGGTTCAAACCTCTTGATTTGCATGATTTTGTGGGGTTTTCTGGGTCAAGTAAATAGTAAACCATTTTCAGAGGTCACCTCTGGCCACTTACCAGAAAAGGACCACTCTGGGAGATCTTGCACCTGTTCTACAGATGGAAAATATATTGAGACACAAACTGGGAGTCATGTGCCTGAGATGGTATAGCTAGTAAATGGGTCTGGAACCCAGGTCAGCTCCATCTCTGAACCTGAACTCTGACATTGCTTCTTCCCCAACCCTTTCCATTCTACCATGGAGGTCTGGTTCTGTTGCCTCACACCTGGAGAGTGGTGATAACTACCTGACCAGTTGCCTGTTTCCTGGGCCCTGCCCACCTCTTTCTGACTTGCCCTGCCATAAGGGCACGGTGCCACAGGATTGCCTCCCTGCCCCAGATCTTGGTTGGCTCCCATCAGGATCCGTCCCAACCAGTGTTTCAGACTTGATGAACTCCACATTCACCTCATGTTCCCATCCCATCCTCCACCCCCCCCAGTTCCCATTCCTGGCTGCATGCAGCTCTCCCAGTGCATCCTGCCCACCTCCACGCTTGTATTAAGTCCTGGGGCTGCAGAGTTGGGTGGGGCAAAGTCTGCTCGGTCACCCCCTACTCATAGGAATCCCTTCCTCAGTTACACCCCTCTGTGCAAAACCTCTGCTTCACATGGGACCCTGGCCTCTGATCACAGAACAGTTCTTCCCCATGTTGAACTTCCCCATGTTGCCTGATGAGTTTCAGCACAGCCTATTCTAGGACTCTCGATGTCAAGTGACAGAAACTCAACTCCAACTGGCTTGAGCAGAAGGGGACTTTATTGACCCAGGTCTTGAAAAGTCCAGAAGTAGGACTTGCTGGACAGCCCAGTGGTTAAGACTCTGCCCTTACTCTGAGTTTCCAATGCAGGGGCACGAGTTTGACCCCTGGTCTGGGAACTAAGATTTCCACCTGCCACAGGGTCTGGCCAAAAAACGAGAGAAAAGTCCAAGAATAAAAGTGGCTCAGACTTCACTAGGTCCAGCATCAGTCTCTGTCTTTCCCCCCAGCTGTCATTCTTGGCTCTGCTTTGCTTTGAGTTGACTTCATTCTCAGGGAGGCTGTCTCCCTGCAGGGGCCCCAGCAGTGTCTGGCTTATATCCAGCCAGCCTAGCAACTCCAGTAAAGTGAGAGGGCCTCTTCTGGAATCGGTCTTAATTGGCTTAACTTGGATCATAGGCCCGTCCCTGAACTGGTCACTGTGGCCAGGGGGATGGAGTCAGACCTCAGTCATGTGCCCACCTCTGGGGGCAGGGGGCAGTCGGTGTCACCTGGACCAAAGAGAGATGGGACTGTTAGAAGCAGATGAAGAGGACATGGATGGTCGCAGGTCACAGCAGCAGATGTCCACCTCCCTGCCATTTTCCATCAGCAAGAAGGGAATGCTTCCTCCCGCATTCCTCCTGAGCCATTTGTTCTGTGTGTTTTGTGCTCTGGTCACTTATAGCAGAGCTTTAGCAGAAGTTCTTCCTTCCATGTCTGATGGTGAATCTGGCCTCCTTTGCTGGTTCCCTTCCGCTCAGAGTGATAAATGAGTTAACATGCACAGATGCTTAGAACAGCGCTTGGCACATAATCAGCTTCAGTAAGTGTTAGCGGTTACTCCGTTGCCTATTAATATAAGGCCGTTTATTCTTCCAGGCCTGAAGTTGGGTGGTCTTGGTGGTGAATCTGGGCTTTGCCCTTTAGCAGTTGTGTAATGTTGGGCAAGTTATTTTCACCTCTCATTTTCTTCATCTGCAAAAGGAGGCAGATCATCCCAACCACCTGGGTTGTTGTGAGAATTAAATGAGACAAGACCCAACAGGTGCCTGGTGCAGCGGGGGCAGCTAGTAGATACTGGGTTGACCAAAAAATTTGTTTGGGTTTACATGAAAGCCTGAACAAACTTTTCAGCCAACACAATAGTTATCATTTGTGTGGTTGTTATTATTTCCAATACAGCACCGGTTGTGAACTTTGCAGTTAGAATAAATATTTTCAAAGCACTTTGATCCTGCTTTCCAGCTCTTTCTTCATTTTGCTTTGTGGTGTGGCAACACTTTGACTTTTCACTAGCCAAGGAGAGTCCAGAGGGTAAGGCCAGTGGGCCTTTCATCATCCCATTCCTCCTGGTGTCTGGAAGGATTCAGGCCTCAGTAAATGATTACTGACAAGAGAAGGCACCGTTCCCTGCCCCTTCTCCTGAAGGCAGGGCTATAAGCTGCCAGAGGATCCCTGGGAGGGCCAGCTCAGCCTCTGCTCATATCTGCAGGTGCGGGAATGGAAGGAGCAGGGCAGCAAGACCTTCATGTGCACGGGGCGGCCGGGCTGGCTCACCGTCTCACTGCGGGTTGGCAAGTACAAGAAGACACACAAAAACATCATGATCAACCTGATGGACATTCTGGAGGTGGACACCAAGAAACAGGTGAGAGAAATGGCATGGTTCTCTGGCTCTGGGAGTGGGTGGGGCACTGCCCCTGGTACAAATGACTCACAGGGAGATAATTTTAACCAAAGATATCCCAGAGTAAACAGGACCAAGGCCCTTGGTCATCACAGAAGGCTCTGCCCACTATTATCATGCTGCAGAGCCTCACAGCTTTGGAAGAGATTGGTCATAGCCCCATCTCACAGGTAGGCAGACTGAGAGCTCAGGGCGATTCTTGGATTATCTGCCACTCCACAGGAAGACAGGGATGGGGAAATCATGGGTAAAAATGAACCGTTTACCTCTTCCCAGTAAGGAAGTGTGCTGGTGAAAATGGGACTGTGGAGGTAGCTCAGAGGGTAGGCCTCGTTCTACCAGCTTTCTGGGAACCCACTTGTTAATGGCCTTAGATGTGTGCATCCTCTTTGGTCTATCTGGTATTTCTACTACTTGAAACTGGTCTCTCAGAAAAGGGAAATAAAGACAACAGAGAAAGAGAGGGATATTATATCACAACTTTATTTTTAATCAAAGACAATATGATATCCAGTAGTAGGGAGTTGTTATATATGGTGTGTCCATGTGATGGCATTTTGTTGTGACTCCTTGTCCAAGTTATTTAATTTCCCTGGGCCTTTTCCTCCCCCTTAACAGCTTTATTGACATATACTTGACATATAATAAACTGTACATAGAGTTTTTATACATAGTACATGTATCATGTGCCCTCTCTTTTTTGTATGGCTTCTTTCACTTAGCATAATTATTCTGAGGTTCATCCATGTGTCAGAAGGATGTTGTTTTATTGCTGTGTAGTATTCCAGTCACAGTTTGTTTATCCTTTCACTTATTGATGGATGTTTGCGTTGTTTCCAGTTTGGGTCTATTACAGGTAAAAGGGTGAGGAACATCTGGATATAGTCAAAATTGTTGTGTGGGCATTTGCCCTTTTTTGAGGTGAATACCTGGCGGTGGAGTCGCTGGGTCATATGGTAGGTGTATGGTTAACTTTCTAAGAAACTGCCAAATTATTTTCTAAAGTAGTTGTAACATTTACATCTCCACAAGTGTTCTAGTTGCTCCATATCATTGTAAACTTGGTATAGTTCATTTTAGCCATTCAGTTGTTGTAGGTATCTTAGTGTGAGTTTTAACTGACTAATGAATGATGTTGGGCATCTCTTCATGTGCATATTTGCTGTTTATATGCCTGTGGTGAAGTACTTGTTCAAGTTTTTTGCTAAAAATTTTTAATTGGGTTGTTTGTTTCCTTACTATGTATTCTAGAAACAAGACCTTCATCAGATATACAGTTTGCATATATTTTCCCCTGGTGTTTGGCTTGTCTTTTGAAAACCAGAAGTTGTTTTAATTTTGATGAAGTCCAGTTTAGTAATTTCTTTTATAGATTGTGCTTTTAATGTTTTATTTAAAAAATCTTGCCCTACTCCATGTCTCAAAGATTTTCTCTTCTGTTTCCTTCCAGAAGTATTATATTTTTACGGTTTACGCTTAGAACTATGATTCGTTTTGAGTTAATTTTTGCATTTGATATGAGATATGGGTCCAAAATTTTTTTTTGCATGTGGATTTCCAATTGTTCCAGCTTCTTTTGTTGAAAAGACAATCCTTTCTCCACTGAACTGCGTTTGCACCTTTGCTGAAATCAGTTGTCCGTATTTACAGGTCTTTTTCTGGACTCTGCTGTTCTGTTCATCTATTTGCCTATCTGTATGCCAGGAACACATTTGTCTTGAATACTATAGCTTTATATTAGTAAGTCCAAAATAATGAGTTGGGAAGTATTCCTTCCTTTTCACTTTTCTGGAGGAGTTTATATAGAATTGATTTTGTTTATTTAAAAGTCAATGGACTTAACCAGCGAAGCCATCTGAGCCTGGAGTTCTCTTTGCAAGCAAGTTTTTAACTACAAATTAAGTTTTTTAAAAATAGATATAGGGCTCTTCAATTTATTTGTTTCTTCTTGGTGAGCTTTGGCAGTTTGTGTCTCGGAAGGTATTTGTCCATTTCATTGAGTTGCATAGTTGATTGAAGTAAAGTTATTCGTAATATTCCCTTACTGTCTTGTGGGCATGTATAGAATCTGTGGTGATGTCGTGTCATGTCTTTCATTTCTGATACTGATCATTTGTGTCTGCTCCCTTTTCTTCCTTAGCAGTCTGACTAGAAGTTAATCCATTTTTACTGATCTTCTCAAAGAACCAGCTTTTGGCGCCATTGATTGTTCTCTCTCTCTTTTTTGGTTTTCTATTTCATTGACTTCCGCTTTGATCTTTGTTCATTTCTTATGCTGACTTTGGGTTTAATTTTACTCTTCTTTGTCTAGTTTTTTAAGGTGACAGCCAAGGTCATTGACTCAGACATTTCTTTATTTCGATTATGGATGCTTAGTGCTATAAATTTCCCGCTGAGCACTGTTTTAGAGCTGTCCCCAAATTTGATATCTTACCTTTTCATTTTCATTCAATTAAATTATTTTCTAGTTTTGTTTTTGATATCTGCTTTGACCCAGAGGTTTTTTAGAAGCATGTTAATTTTCCAGAGATCTTACTGTTACTGATTTCTAACTTAATACAGTTGTCAGAAAACATACTTTATATGATTAAAATGCTTTTTGGCTTACTGAGACTTACTGTATGGCCTAGAATACAGTCTATTTGATAAATGTTCTTTGTACCTTTTTTTTTTTTTGGATGTATATTCTGCTGTTTTGGGATGATGTGTACTGCAAGTGTCAATTAGGTCAAGTTGGTTGATAGTGCTGTTAAGTCTTCTATATCCTTATGAATTTTCTCTCTACTTATTCTATCAGTTATTGAAATGGGGATATTGAAATCTCTGCCTGGAATTATAGATTTGTTTTTATCTCTTGCACTTCTTACAGTTTTGCTTATATAATTTGAAGCTCTGTTATTAGGTATACAAATGCTTGGGATTTTTATTTCCTCTTGATTAATTGATCCCTTTATCATTGTGAAATTACCTTTTTTAAAAAATTTCTTTTATTGACATATAGTTGTTTACAATGTTGTGTTAATTTCTGCTGTGCAGCAAAGTGATGCATCTATATGTATATATTCTTTTTCATTTTCTTTTTCATTGTGATTTATTAGAGGATACTGAATATAGTTCCCTGTGCTATACAGTAGGACCTTGTTGTTATCCATTCTAAATATAACAGTTTGCATCTGCTAACTCCAAACTCTCCATCCATCCATCTGCCCTGCCACCCGGTTTGGCAACCACAAGTCTGTCCTCTCTGTCTGTGAGTGTTTTTGTTTCACAGATAAGTATATATGTGCCATTTTTTAAGTTGGAGTATAATTGATTTCCAGTGTCTTAATTTCTGCTGTACAAGACTGATTCAGTTGTGTGTGTCTCTATGAAAGCGAAAGTGAAGTCACTTAGTCATGGCCCACTCTTTGTGACCCCATGGACTGTAGCCTACCAGGCTCCTCCATCCCTGGGATTTTCCAGGCAAGAGTACTGGATTGGGTTGCCATTTCCTTCTCCACGGGATCTTCCTGACCCAGGGATCGAACCCAGGTCTCCTGCATTATAGGCAGACGCTTTACCGTCTGAGCCACCAGGGAAGTCAGGCTGTGTGTCTCCATGTAAATATATATATATATATATATATATTCTTTCTCATATTCCTTTCCATGATGGTTTATCACAGGATATTGAATACAGTTCCCTGTTCTGTACCATAGGACCTTACTTATCTGTTCTGTGTATAATAGTTTGCATATGCTAACCCCAAGCTCCAATCCTTCCCTCCCCTATCACAACCACAAGTCTGTTCTCTGCATCTGTGAGTCTGTTTTCTGTTTCATAGATATGTTTATTTGTGTCATAATTTAGATTCCACATATAAGTGATATCATATGGTATTTTTCTGACTCCCTTCACTTAATATGATAATCTCCATATCCATCTATATTGCTGCAAATGGCATTATTTCATTCTTTTTTATGGCTGAGTAGTATTCCATTGTATGTATACCCCACATCTTCTTTATCCTTTCACCTGTCAATGGACATTTAAATTGTTTCTATGTTTTGACTGTTGTAAACAGTGCTGCTGTAAACATATGGGTGTATATGTCTGTGAAATAACGTGTGGTATTCTTTGTTCGGAAATCTACTTTGTCTAAGTGGTAGCATGGTGTATCTTTTTCCATCATTTTCCTTTTAATCTATTTGTATCTTTGTAGTTGAAGTGTTTCTTGTAGACAGCACATAATTAAGTCTTGCTTTTTATCTAACATGACAATTTCTGCCTTTTAATTCAGATTTAAGACTACTTACATTTAATGTTATTATCGACAAGAGTTAGTTTAAATTTGTTGCCTTGCTCTTTGTTTTCTGTTTGTGTCATTTGTTCTTTGTTCCCTTTTTCTCTTTTTCTGTCTGTTTTTTTGGATTAGTGAATAGTTTTTATGATTGTGTAGCTCTTGTTGACTTAATAGCTGTAAGTCTTTGTTTTGTTATTTTAGCAGTTTTAGGATTTATGGTGTATACTTTCCTTGTCACTATCTACTTCAAGTGATGGTATCCCATTTGATGTGTAGTGTAAGAATCTTAATATGCTTCCATTTCTCTCCTCCCACCTTTGTGCTATTATTGTCATCCTTTTATATATGTTATAAACCCCACACTATATTATTATTGTTACTAGTAGTTATCTTTTAAAGAGATTTAAATAAGAAAAATCTTGTATATTTACCCGTATAGTTACCATTTCTTCATTTTGAAAATTTGTATTTCCATCTTTTTAATTTTCCTTTGGCCTGAAGAACCTCCTTTGACACTTCTTTTGGCTGCACTGGGTCTTCATTGCTTTGTACAGGCTTTTTCTAGTTGCGGCAAGCAGGGATTACTCTGCATTGCAATGTGTGGGCTTCTCATTGTGGTGGCTTCTCTTACTGTGACACATGGGCTCCAGAGCACAGGCTTCAGTAGCTGCAGCTCAGGGACTCTGTTGCCGGGTGGCAGGTAGAATCTCCCCAGACAAGGGATCAAACCCGTGTCTCCCGCATTGGCAGGCAGATTCCTAACCACTGGACCACTAAGGAACTTCCATCCTAATTGTTTTTAAGATGTGTCATTCAGTGGTATTAAATCCATGCAATCGTCATTCAGACACCACCACCATCCATTGCCATAACTCAATTTTCCTCTTGTAAAACTGTAAATCTATACCCATGAAACAGTAACTCCCTAATCTTCCCTCTCCCTAGACCCTGGCAACCACTTTCTACTATCTGTCTATATAATTTTGACCTCTCCAAGTACCTCATGTAAGTGGATCATACAGTATTTGTCTTTTTATAACTAGCTTATTTTCCTTAGCAAAATGTCTTCAAGGTTTATTCATGTTATAGCATATTGCAGAATTTTCTTCCTTTTTTAAGGTTGGATAATATTCCATTCTATATCTGTACTACATTTTGCTTATGCATTCATTCATCCATGAATACTTCGGTTGCTTCTATCTTTTAGCTATTATGAGTAATGCTGCTATGCACATGGGTGTAGAAATATCATTTCAAAACCCTGCTTTCAGTTATTTTGGGTATATACCCAGAAGTGGAATTGTTGGCTCACTTGGCAGTTCTATTTTTAATTTTTTAAGGAATGACTGTACTGTTTTCCATAGTGCTTGCACCATTTAACATCCCTACCAAGAGTGCACAAGGGTTTTAATTTTTCTAAATCCTTACCAGCACTTGTAATTTTCTGTTTTTGTTTTGTGTTTAATAATAGCCATCCTAATGGCTATGAGGTTGCCTTCATTTCTGAAAGATATTTTCAGTGGGTATGGAATTTCAGGTTGACAGGTCTTTTTCCTTCAGTATTTTGAAGATGCTTCAGCATCTTCTTAATTGCCTTATTTCTAATAAGAAATCTCTCATGCTTTGTATGTAACATATCTTTTTCCTTTGACTGCTTTTAAGATTTTCTCTTTGTAACTAGTTTTAAGCAATTATTATGATGTGGCATGGTATAGTTTTCTTCATAATTCTTGTACTTGGGAGCCATATAATTTTTCATAATATTTGAAAATTCAAGGGTCATTATTTCTTTAAGTAGTTTTTCTTTCTCTTCCTCTCTCCTTTGAGGACTGCTATTACACATAAATTAGTTGGGCCAGTTGAAGTTGTTTCATAGCTTAGCTCACTGATATGCTGTTCATAAAAGTTTTTTTTTCCCCCACAGTATATTTCATTTTGGACTATTTCTATTGCTGTGTATTTAAATTCACTGCCCTTCTGCAGTGTCTTAATTTGCCATCAATCCTAACCAGTGTATTTTTCGTCTCCGACATTGTGGTTTTGATTTCTAGAAGTTTGATTTGGATATTTTTACTGCCTTTTAAATGTCTCTACTTAACTTTTTGAACATAAGGATTATAGTCATAATTATTTTAATGCCCTTATTTTGCTGATTCTAATATCTATCAATTCGGGGTCTGTTTTATCAAGACAGATTGATTATTCCCCTCAGGATGGGTCGAATTTTCCTGCTCCTCTGCCTGGCTAGTGAACTTTGATTGGATTTTAGACATCATGGATTTTACCTTGTTGGGTGCTGGATGTTTCTATACCCCTGTAAATCTTCCTGAGTTTTGTTCTGAGATATAGCCAAGTTACTGGGAAAGAGTTTGACCTAGTTGGGTATTGAGTTTTCAGGTGGGGTTGAAGCAGTGTGTAATCTAGGGGCAATTATTCCCTGCTGCTGAGGCAAGACCCTTAGAAATACTCTACCCATTGCCCTAAGAGTCACAAAGGTTTCCAGTCTGGACTGTGGGAATGAATAGCATTTCCTGTCCTGTGTGAGCCCCGGCCCTGTTACCTTCCAGGCTCTTCCCCTGACCTCAGCCTTGGGTCATCTCCTCCTGGGTACCCATCAGTTCTCAGCTGGATACTCAGTGGGCACCTTGGCAGTACTTCAGAGTTTTCTCTCTGCAGTTCTCTCCTCCGCAGTACTCTGTCCTGCAGACTCTACTCACCTGGGTCTTACCGGGCCCTCAACTCAGAGTCCACAGGACTCCCCATCCCTGTACTGCCTAACTCCTGTGGCCAGCTGGGGCAGCCACAGAACTCACCCTGTTTATTTTCTGTCTCATAGAGATCATTAATTTCATTGCCTGACGTTCACTGTGTTGAAAACTCCTATTTCATTTATTTTGTCCTTTTTTTTCCAGGCAGTAGGGTTAAACTAGTTCTTTTTTGCTCCGTCTTGACAGGAAGCAGAAGACCACTTGATGACATATTCATGTGTCTGTTTTTTTTGTTTTTAAGTGTAAAAGTCTTTTTGTTTTTATGGTGACACAGGCAAAATTATTTAAGTCAAGAAATTTTTAAGGGATTTCACATGGTCTGATTTTTTCTATTGCCAGTTACCTTGGTTCTTCCAGTGTCTGAGTCATAATCTTCAAGATAGCCTTTTCCAAAATAATTTTTGCTCAACCCACAGTTTTCATGTCAGTCAGTCCACAGTTCTTTTGTTGGGCTTCTTTGATCTCCAATGGAATGTGGATACACTTCAGAATTCCCCTACTGCAATCTTTGTGATCCAGTTTCCTCAAGCAGCTTGACTTCCCTGGTGGTTCAGACAGTAAAGTGTCTGCCTATCATGCAGGAGACCTGGGTTTGATCCCTGGGTCAGGAAGATCCCGTGGAGAAGGAAATGGCAACCCATTCCAGTACTCTTGCCTGGAAAATCCCGTGGACGGAGAAGCCTGGTAGGCTATAGGCCATGAGGTCGCAAAGAGTCGGACACAATTGAGTGACTTCACTTTCACTTTTCACTTTCCTCAGGCAGCTTACTTTAAGACCATGTTTAGGGTCAAAAGAGATGGATCTGCCTTGAAGGTTGTATCAAACTGAACAGTGTAAAAAATTATAGGAATACTGTATCAGTAGAAATACCAGGTCTAACATGAACAGAGCCAACTAAACCAGTGATGCCAGATACTGAATTGATATTCTACTGTCCTTTGAACAAAAATTGTTTTCCAGGAGCATTTAATAACAAGGAATGATGTCACAGTATAGAATTAATTTTTTTAGAAAAAGGCAAAAAAGTCTATGTTAGAAGTGTGTTTGTGTGCTGTATTAAGACAAAATAGCAATCTAGATATGCATGGAAAAATATTGAAAGGAGATATAGTCAATATTAAAATTGCTACTTGAAAGAGCTAGGATTAATGATTTTTATCTTCTTTGTGTATGCTGTTTCTTCCAAATAAATGAGTATTTCTTCTTCTAGAAGAAAAATAAACTAAGTATTAAGTATAAAGATTAAATTATAAATAAATATAAAAGTATGAAAATTAAACCCTAGCAAACTCAGTGCCAGAGACCCCATTCAATGAAGTTAGAGGTTGTGGAATGCTCTAGAAAGAGGCTGTAGAGGCTATACAGGGATCCCCATGTTGATTGTTTGGGAAGATCTGAGACAACACCTCCTGCAGGCAGAATCCCTCATTCAGCCTGACAGCTTCCTTGTGACCCAGGGTCTCGCTTCTGTGTCAATAGATTGTCCGAGTGGAGCCCTTGGTGACCATGGGTCAGGTGACCGCCCTGCTGACCTCCATTGGCTGGACTCTGCCTGTGTTGCCCGAGCTGGATGACCTCACAGTGGGTAAGCCCTCAGACAGCCCTAGCATCAGAGCTGAGGGACCTCGGCCCACCTTCCGTCCCATCTGTGACGGAAGTCACCCTGTCTCATCTCGCCCAGCTCCAAAGTCCGGGTGCACGCTGCCTGCCAGTATGTGTCTGAACCCCTTATGTTATCAGACAGCACTTTTCAATCTCTGGTTCAAACCTGCTTCCCTATAACGTGCACCCATTGTTCCAGGTCCCAGAGCCTTTTCTTCTCCAAAGAAACCCCTTCAGGTCCTTTAGCTGTTTGCAAGAGTTTCCCCCACCCAACCAACCCCCCTTTCATCAAGTTTCCTGTTGAAATGAATGTGCCTTAAGTTGAGTCTGGTCAGAGGTGGTGGTGTGTCTCCCACCCACCCCTCACCTCTAAGCAAGCCCTCACGCTCACATCTCAGCCCTTCCTCCTCTCTCCTGCTCTCCACATCCACAGAGATGGGACATCTCCCCTAAGATCTGCCAGCCCCGTTGTGCCTCCCTCATGCTGTGAGTGTCCTGGGCTCCAGTGAGGTGTCCTATCTCTCCCCCAACCCCTCCCAGCTCTGCCTGGCTAACACACGTGTCTCTGCAGGAGGACTGATCATGGGCACAGGCATCGAGTCTTCGTCCCATAAGTATGGCTTGTTCCAGCACATCTGCACTGCCTATGAGCTGGTCTTGGCCGATGGCAGCTTTGTACGATGCACACCGGTGAGTTCAGAGGTGGGAGACGTCCCCACCAGCCTGCCCTGGGCATTAAGGACCCCTGGGAGGTGTCCCCACCGGGGGTGCTTCATTTAAAGTACACCTGTCCAGTCTAGGTCTGTATTCGTGATAATAACAGATTTCTATAGCCCCTGAGGTGTGCTCAGATACTGTTATAAATGCTTTATGTACATTAAACCATGTAGTTGTTAAGCAATCTTATGAGGTGGGTACTGTTATTAGCTGAACTTGTCTGGTGGCTCAGTGGTAAAGAATCCTCCTGCCAATGCAGGAAACACAGGTTCTCTTCCTGGGTCGGGAAGATCCCAGGAGAAGGAAATGGCAACCTATTCCAGTATTCTTGCCGTGAACAGAAGAACCTGGTGGGCTATCGTCAATGGGGTTGCAAAAGAGTCAGACACGATTTAGTGACTAAACAACACCAACAACTATCATTAGCCACATTCTACAGATAGGAAACCAAAGCACAAAGAGGTTAATAAACTTTCCCCAAATCACAAACCCAGTAAAGCCCACGTGGCTGGGATCCAGACCCTGCTTGTTGGGCTCCCGTGTCAGTGCCCTTATCCATGTCACCATACTGTCTTGAAGTCAGGCCTAAGCATCAACACTCCATGCCGAGGTGAGGTGTATCGAAAAACAAGAGGTGCTGCTTTGGAGAAAGAGGCAATTCCACTGCCCAAAGTAGAATGCAAACAGTTAAGGAGCAGGACAGGATCGAACCTTTAAATCAGCTCAGATCTCTCTGAGCATATGTGGGGGCCCCTGGGATGGGAGGAACAGTGTGATCCCTTAGAAGTAGATGTTTCCGAGAGTCACTCTGTTGACCTCACAGAGACCAGGGCAGGACTCCAGGCTTGAGAGCTCTGGTCTGAACAAGGTAGACCTCTTTGAGGATTCACACCAGTTCAGTGAGTTTCCCTGGACCCCGCCTTCTAACCTGTTTACCAGCAGAGAGGAGGCAGACATTGGTGAATTACTTCCCTGTCCTTGACACAGGTAGTGCCAAGACAGGGACTTAGCCCAGGCCCTGGGTTCTCTGCATCCCACTGCTGACGACACTCTGTAGTAAGGGTCCAGGGGTCAGATGTTCAGCGTGTGTCCACTCCGCTTCGCAGATGGAAAACTCAGACCTGTTCTACGCCGTGCCCTGGTCCTGCGGGACTCTGGGCTTCCTGGTGGCTGCCGAGATCCGCATCATCCCTGCCCAGAAGTACATCAAGCTGCGGTTTGAGCCAGTGCGCGGCCTGGAGGCCATCTGTGACAAGTTCACCTATGAGTCCCAGCGGCCGGAGAACCACTTCGTGGAAGGGCTGCTCTACTCCCTGGAGGAGGCCGTCATCATGACGGGGGTCATGACGGACGAGGCAGAGCCCAGCAAGGTAGGGCAGAAGGAGGACGGCCGGGGCAGGCTGGGCAGGGAGCCGGATCCCCACCCTGACCCTGGCAGGCACCCTTTTCAAGGCTGCGAGCTGGGTCAGCCCACCTGGGTCAGAACCACCTGGGGTTCAGGCAGCAGCATCAGTAGTTGGCCATCTTAGGCAGTGACCAAAGCGTCCGCTTCCTCTGTCCCTACCAGCTGCCAGGGACAGGCGTAATCTTTGATCCTTGCAATAACGCTGTTTTATAGATGAGGCAACTGAGGTTCCAAAACGCCATGTTAACGTCCACAAGATGACGAAGTAATTGATCTGATACTTCAGAATCCAGATTGACACTGAGTAATTTTTCTTTTTAAGTTTTATTTTTTATTTTTGGCCACACCACACAGCATGCAGGATCTTAGTTCCCTGACCAGGGATTGAACCCGCACCCCCTGAAGTAGAAGGGCAGAGTCTTAACCACCAGACCACCAGGGAAGTCCCTGCTGTGTATTTTTTAATAATCATTCTTTGTCCATTGAGAAAGTACTTGTGTCTGATGAGAGGCTTGGAAAGTATACAGAAGTAAAAAGAAAGGCTCCACGTATAAACATGACCCAAGCCAGCTCTTGCTAACTGTTTGACAGGTTTATTTCCTCTTTTCAATATATAGATTTTTTTTTAAGCCTTTACAAAGTCATGTAACAGTGTTGAAATATATAAAGAAAAAGTTAAAGTGCATGTCTTTACCCAAGCATGCACCCAGAGTAACCCCTTGTTAACACTGCACTCTTTGAGGCCTGTATATGTGCATGTGTGTGTTTGCAAACACACACTCTCGTTTTGTTCTATGATTTCCAGTGTTGCCTGCAAATAATAGACCTAACTCATTGCTTCCCAATGAGTATTTATTTTGCTTAAAATGTTTTGCTCTTACAAATAAGATTACATTGAAGATTCTCTTGCATCTATCCTTGGCCTCTTGTACATGCATTTCTGTAGGAGTGAGTCCAAGAAAAGGAATTTCTGACCCAGGGGTCTGAACACATTGAGTGTTGAAAAATACAACCAATGGCCCTCCCTCCACGAAAACATGTGTTTCTCTCCACTTCCAGCAATGCAGTGGTGTGTGAGAATACCTTTCTTCCACGTTCTTGCCAGTGCTGGATAGCATCACTGTTTCATTTTTGCCAATCTGATAAGGTTAAAAATAGTAGCTCTTTATCTTGCAGTTCTCGGGTACTTTCAACATTACCATCTCCTTGCAGTGTTTCAGTTTGTCTTCAGCTGTGCTCACTGGACTGGTATAAAATTTTTAGTTTTCTGGTTTAGTGTGATAAGCATTTCTGCACGTCAGTTACATTGCGTTCATATTTAATGACTGCAGAAACATTGCAGTGAACAAATGCCCTGTCATCTACTAAACCACTGCCCCATAGTTGGAAATTAAAGTTGCATCTAGTTTTTCATTATTTTAATTAACATAACAGTGAACATCTTTTGTCTGTAATTTGAGTAATGTCTTAAAGTAGAATTAGTACATCAAACGATAGGCCGTCTTAAGGCTCTTATCTGTCCCTATATACTTAAAACATTTTAAAATCTAAAGGGACTCAAAAATCATCGGGTACGATTCACTCTCCAAATAAGGAATGCGGTCCAGAGAGGGAAAGAGGCTTCTCTGAGGACACACAGCAGACCTGGGGCAGATTTAAATTTGGGTCTCTGACTCCTGGTTGGTTGTTTGTTACCCTCATGCCTGCTTCTAGAATTTATCATCATTTGCAAACTTTGATCAAGCACCATTCCCACTAGTGAGACACTAGTGAGCACTGGAGGATGAGGATCCTGGAGCAGGAACAGGACTTCAGACACCAAGCGCAAACGCTTTGGTGCCCCCGGGCCATAACTTCGGGAGCCCAGGTTAGGCCAAAGCCCAGGCAGTGTGTCGCTCTGAATCTGAACCTAGTCACCTGGTAAGGAGGTCTCATCCAGAGGTTTTCCCTTTTGTCTGAGGCACTCCCCTGGAGACTGCCAGTGGTGATAAGCTGAGGGCAGGGACCAAGGGGAATCACATCCCAGCTCCCCACCAAAAGTCATCTCTTTGATGTGTTAGATGCCACTTAAAGTTGAGATTGTGTTCAGGGGGTTGCATAGCTTTGAAAATGTTTGAACACTCTGACCAGTTCCCTTCTTCCCCAAGAAGTCTAGGGTTTTCTCCAGAGACTTGCCCCTGTATCAGTGGCAGAGGGCCTGGGCTTAAGGCCACAGACCTTTGTGAAGTGTTCCCATGAACAAGACCCTGATTCCACATGGGAACTGGGCCGGGGGAGAATGGTGGATGCCAGAGACGTGTGCATGTGTCATCTGAGGAGCTCATCTCCCCAACATGCCTGTTTGGCAGGCTGCTCAGGAATTTGTCCCTGCGTGCCAGGCACTGCCCACTCTGTAAGGATGTGGCCCGTCCACCCCGCGGACCCTGCAAGGAGGCGGCCCACACCCATTTTACAAGGGAGGCCCAGAGATAGGAAGCCGCTTGTTATCTGAGTGCTTGGGCTGGTACTGGAACTCGTGTGGTCTCTCAGCTGCCAGTGGGCTGCCATGTGCCCTGGGAGACAGGCACCATCCCGGGCTTCCCTGGCACAAATAGTTCCTGATGAGTCCTGAGCACCAGGAGCACCTGTGTCTAGGCATCTGCCAAGTGTCGGGTTCATCACGCAGCTGGTGCCACTGCCATGTATGTGGCCAGGCCCACCTGGGGTTAGGTCAGATTGCTGTGTTCCTATTGGGTCTGACTCCTCTTTGCATGCACAGGTGGAGGCCAGCCTATGGCGACTTCCATGCTCTAACTGACTTGAACCAACAGGCTCTTTAGCCCATTTGAGCCCAGGCTCAAAGCCTATACTCTGTGGCCCTGTTTACTCCCTGCAGAGTGGCCTCTCAGCTAGTGGACCTGCACACAGGGTAATACCTAGGTGGGCTGCAAGTGTTGGCTGCCAGAGATGGAGGGCACAGGTTGCCTGGCTCTGGGGTGAAAGGAACTGGCGAGGAGCTGAGGGCACTGAGAGGGGGTGGGAACTGAATACTGTGCCCCTACTGTGGGCAGTCACTGTGCTTGGCACTTTCTATATTATCTGTTTCAGTCTTTCCAACCATTTTGACTTTACTGAAAATGAGGCTTGGAGAGTTTAAGTAACCTGCCAGGATCAGCCTAGTGCATTAAAAGTGGAAAAAGCAAATTGGCAAACAGCAGGAACAGGGTAATCCCATTTCTATAAACCCATGTATGTGTGTGAAAATAAAACCTAATGAACACATACTAGCTTTCAGTAGTTCCCTCTGAAGGGTGAGGCTATAGGGGTGTCTCTCTTTCAGGTTACATATTTCTGCTGTGTCTAAGGCTTTCACCAGGAGCGTGTATTGCTTTTAGAATCAGAAGAAAAAAAACTCATAGTTGTTTTTCTGTTTTTTTCCTTAATAATGCCCGCTTTCCAGAACCTCCCATTCAAGGTTCTCTGCCATCCAGCCCTGGCATTCTTTTGCAACAGGGGATGTGCTTGAGTCTTTGCCTTGCCTCTCGCCTGCCTTGTGGCCTCAGGTAGTCTCTTTAATCTTGATGATTCTTTCTCCTGGTTAGTGAGACAAGGACATCTCTTTTGTGGGAGGTTGTGGAGGAGATAATGCATATCTACAAGGTCATGGAGGGGGTAAAAAATGAACACATTGGGTGCTGGGGCTGCCTTCCTCATGGGCATGCTAGGCTTTTTCTCCAGCGATCCTGGCCTTGCTTACTTCTTGCTTCTGTTCCCGTCTTACCCTATCCAATGGTCCCCTCTCCTATGTGGCCTCCACTCTCTGCTTCCTCCTGTCCATCTGCTGAGCCCCAGCTGGCTGTTATCTCACCTGCCCCATAAAACTTGGGTGCCTCTCCCACCCCCAGAGAATGAGCCCAAGCGTCTGCAGTGTGTATGCATGTAATTTCGAACAGGCACAAAGATCTCCCACAAAGTATCTATTTTTAGTGCCATTTAACATGTGAAGAAACAAGCTCAGTGTCACATAGCTAGTGGGTTCCTAGGCGAGGGCCAGACCTCAGCCACCCAACCTGTGGCCTTTCTGGGCGGCTGCCCTGCCTCTCTCTCTCTGAAAGCATCGATCCCTAGTCCCTTTCATGGGTGAGTAAGCTAAGGCCCAGAGAAGCTAAGTCACCCCACGGCACACAGTAGGTAAAGTTCTGAACCATTTAGGACTGAAGAAGACACCAGCTAAACATAAGATTGAGGCTTGGAGACCACGGGGCTCAGTACCAGGAAGCCCATAGCTTTACAGTGAGCTTCTCCCTCTGCTGTTGGGTGTCTGTAGCGGCAGTGCCTTGGCCAGAGGATGTGGAGCTTGGTCCAGGGCAGCAGGGAAAGCATTTTGGTCAGCTAGCACTGTCAGCCAGGAGACCCAGTGGGGACCGGTGACCCCCACTCAGTGTTTGTGTCAACACCGGCCTCATGGGAGGGAAGCAGGGAGGAACAGGCCTGTGTGGGCCACGGCACAGTGGCCGACCCCAGTAAACATCAGCTTTTCAGTCCTCTCACTTCCAGTTCCAGCAACTCTGGCCTTGCTTACTTTCTTGCTTCTGTTCCTGCCTTACCCTCCCTGATGGTCCCCTCTCCAGAGGGAGCAGGCTGAGCTCTCGAGTGTCAGGAGCTCATCGTTGGGCCCTGGGCTCACCACTTAACCTCCACGAGCTTTTGCTCTCTCTGCTAGAGAAAGCCTGCCATGCTTAACCTCATCCAGCTTTTAAGAGCCTCCAAGGTGATGAACAGACATGAAAGAGCTCTGGGGAGGCCAGGAGTGCTGAACAGAAGCCGGGTATCTCTGTTACACCCCAGTGGCCTTTGGGGCTTGTCTGCGGCCTGACAACAGCGCCCTCTGCCATTTCAGCTGAATAGCATTGGCAACTACTACAAGCCGTGGTTCTTCAGGCACGTGGAGAACTACCTGAAGACAAACCGAGAGGGCCTGGAATACATCCCCTTGAGACACTACTACCACCGCCACACGCGCAGCATCTTCTGGGAGCTCCAGGTGAGGCTCAGATTTCCCGGTAGCCCTGGCTCCTCCGGCCAGGCTGGGGGAAAAGGGGGGCTTTGTCCTCAGGAACTAGAGCAGCCTCTCACCCAGCCGCAGAACAGTGTTTCCTTCTGTGAAAACAGAAACAGCCAGCTTCCCTTAAAGCAGCAGAGTTTCCCCAAGTACCAGCCGGAAAGTGGGTCCTCTGGCTGGGTGCTCTGAGGAACTCAGACCTGTCCCATTCTTGAGACACTGTAGCCTGGCCAAGTGGCCAGTCTCCGGCCCTGAGAAGGGCCGCAGGAAGTGACTGGTCCTGCCTAGGGCTGGGGGTAGCTGTCAGGCGTGTCCTTGACTTGTGGGTAAGAATTTGCTACTGTGCCATGAGAGTTGGGGAGCGGTGACATTTTAAATAGGGAGTGAGGAAAGGCCTCTCGGGAGCTGCCTTCTGAGCAGAGACCAGCGTAGGGAAGACACAGCAGGCAGAACTTGAGAGGGTGCTCCAGGCAGAGGAGGACCAGAGCACGGCTCCTCGGTGGGCTGGCTGGGTTGCTGTTTTCCTTTTTCTTAATTGAAGTGAAAACATAAACTTAACCATTTTAAAGTATACAATTCAGTATACTTGGTACATTCATGATATTGTGTGTGTACTGCCTCTATCTGGTTTCAAAATATGTTCATTGCCCTGAAAGGAAGCCCTGTACCCATTCAGCAGTTACTCCCCATTCCCTTTCCCCAGACTCTGGCAACCAGTGGTCTATGGGTTTACCTATTCTAGACATTTTATATAAATGGAATCTTGCAACACATGGCCTTTTGTGTCTGGTTTTGTTCACTAAGGCTGTTTTCAAGGTTTATCCACGCTGTAGCATGTATCAGTACATCATTCCTTTGTGTGGCTGAAAAATACTCCATTGTATGGATGAACCACAGTTTGTTTTTCCACTCATCTGCTGGTGGACATTTGAGTTGTTTCCGCCTGTTGGCTTTGTGAATAACACTGCTGTAAACATTCATGTACACAAATTTATTTGGATACTAGTTTTTGGTTTGGGGGCAGTCTATGCCTAGGAGTGGAACTGCTGGATCTGTGTGATAATTCTGTGTCTAACTTACTAAGGAACTGCCAGACGTTTTCATGGTGGTGAGCCATTTTACATTCCCAACAGCAGCATGCAAAGGTTCCAGTATCTCTGCATTCTCACCAGCGCTTGTTGTTTTATGGTGTTTTGCTGTAGCCATCCTAGCAGGTGAGAAGTAGAATCCTGCTGTAATTTTGGTTTGCATTTTCCAAATGACTGATGATGTTGAATATCCTTCCATGTGCCTGGTGGCCATTTGTAAATTTTTTGAAGAACTATCTATTCAGATCCTTTGCCCAGTTTTAATTACATTGTTGATCTTTGTTGTTTTAAGAGTTCTGTATATATTCTGGATATTAGACCTTTATCAAATACATGATTTGCAAATATTTCCTCCCATTCTGTAGGTGGTCTTTCACTGTGTTGATAATGTCTTTTGATTTACAGAAGTTTTTGGTTTTGATGATGTCCAGTTTAGTTTTTCTTGTGTTACTCATGCTTTTAAGTGTCATATCTGTAAGAATCCATTGCTAAATCCAGTGGAGATTTAGCATTAATCATGAAGATTAATTCCTCTGTTATCTTCTAAAAGCTTTATAGTTTTAGCTCTTATATTTAGGTTCTTGATCCATTTCAAGTTTTGTATATTTGGTGAGAGGTGGGGGTCCAACTCCATTTCTTTTGCATCACAGCAGGATGCAAGTTGTCACAGCAAGCCTGCATGTTTTTTAAAAAACAGCAAGAAGGCCCTTTAGCTAAACCCATGGTGGAGAGTGAGGTTAAATAGCAGCTGGAGCCTAGATCATGTGGGTCCTTGTAGTTCAGGGGAGGACTTTCTGTTTTGCTTTGTGTGATGAGAAGGCCCATGGAGGACTTTGTACAGAAAAATGACATGACCTGATTTTTGTTTTAAAATGATAGTTTTGACAGCTGGATGGAGAGTGGCTGGGGTAGGGTGACTAGAGTGAAAGAGAAGAAGAAGGAAGGATTCTGTTGTCTGGAGTGGTAGCAGTGGAGGAGGAAAGGAGTCTCAGATCTGGGAGGTACTGCAAAGATTGAACCAACCAACAGGATTTCCAACAGAGTATGACTCCCAGGTTAGGGATCCAAGCAACTGGCTGACCTGAGGTGCCATTGACTGCCATGGGCAATGTAGGGGAGGGGCCTGGGAAGGAAAATTAGAAGTTTGGTCTGGGACATGTCAGCATGAGATGCTTCTCAGACATCCAGGTGGGATGTCAAGTGGGCAGTTGGCACACATGTCAGATCTTCAAAGGTTGAAGGATCACATACCACTGTGGGTAGCATCAGCAGAGAGATGTTAATTAAAGTCATGGGACTAAACAAGTGAGGGAAGTTAGAGAAGAGAAGTCCCAGAGCCAAGCCCTATAGGTCAGGGGAGGAAAAACCAGGCAGGAGAGGAGAAGGCGCCGTCAGTTGGAAGGAAGGAGAAACCCAGGAGAACTGGCAACCTGGACAGTGTGACAAGAAGGAAGATGAACAACTGTGTCAATTGTCCCTGAGTGAGATGAGAATGAAGAACTGACCTCTGGTCACTGATGACTGTGAGTCTTGGGGCTGAAAGCCTGATGTGAAGTAAAGAGAGAACAGCGACAAGGAAGTGGGGACAGTGAAAACAGAGATCTAAGAAGGATCAGTATCAGGGGAAGCAGAGAAATAGGGTGGTAGCCAGAGGGGGATGTGGGATCGAGAGGAGACAACAGAAGGTAGAAATGACCGCATTTTGATGTGCTGGCAGTGCAGGAAAGAGGGTGTGCTTGCAGACGGAGCCTTGAGCACAGGCAGATCCTGCACTCAGGTGGAGGGGGTGCCCGCTAGAGCCTGGAGAGTCACCCCCTGGGCAGTTAATGGAACAGTTGCTGTGGGGTGTGGGTGCTCTCTTCCGGTTGATTCTCAGTGAAATAGGAAGCAAGGATTTCAGCCAAGATGAGGGGGCGAGGGGTTGTTGAAGGACTGAGAAGAGAAGAGTTGGGAACTTGTCCCTTGGAGAGTGGGAATGAGTTGACTGGGAAAATGTCATAGGGTTGCCAGGCAACAGTGGGCCTGCCAAAGATTCCTGAGCGTGCATTTACAGAGATGCATTTACCACCGGCCCTGGTGGCTGTGGGTTTTCACACATTCAGCTGTGTGGATGGGACAGAGAATAAGGAGAAAGAAAGATTTAACCACGGTTGAGATTTTGCAGATGAGTAAGATAAGTGAGGCAGGGTTGGAGAAGCTGGGACGGGATCGTGATGAATTCCGAGCCAGCTTGGGGAAGGGGGTGGTGAGGATATGCGGGGCTGACGGGACTTACGCACTGGCCTGGGTGCCCCTTGGGGTGAAGAGTTGACGTCAGAGCACTGGAGGGCATAAGCAGCAGGAAGGGAGAGGTAGTGGTGGCCAGAGGACCAGTGCTTGAAATTGAATCTATGGTGTTTTCCCCCAGCATCCAGTTCTGCAGGAATGAAGTCCTTAGCCCCTGCAGTCACTGACCTTCAACACACCCTGAAAGGAATTCAGGGTAAAGATCAAGAATGAGGCTGTCTGTGCTATGGGCAAACTACCAGAACAGACCTTCACATAGTTAGAAGATATTTTGAGGAAAAAATTTTATGACCCAAAACTCTTGCATCTTCACGTACCTAGTAAAGCAATAAAACCATTAATAAGACGTCTGTTCCTTGTAACTAGAAACAACTTTGAACCAAGAGATGTGCTTGATGACAATTGTTGTTTAGTCGCTAAGTCATGTCTGACTCTTTGTGACCCCATGGAGTGTAGCCCACCAGGCTCCTTCTGTCCTTGGGATTTCGCAGGCAAGAACACTGGAGTGGATAGCCATTCCCTTCTCCAGGGTATCTTCCTGACCCAGAGATCAAACCTGTGTTTCCTGCATTGAAAGGCAGATTCTTTACCACTGAGCCACCAGAGAAGCCCTGGATGACATGTATCCTTCACCAAAATCACATACTTGCTGACCTCACCTTTACCTCTTCACAACAGTTTCTCAGCACTCTCTGAGAGTGGGTCTTCTGGGCTGCAATCTCGGTGAGATACTGAATAAACTCAACTCATAGCTCTGGTGTTATTTTTTTTTTTCTTTCTCCCCAAGTCAACAGAGGTAGTGAATATAACATCAAGAGGTCAGCAAACTTCCTTAAAGGGCCAAAGAGCAAAGGCTTTAGGCTCTGCAGGTCATACTTCCTGTCACAGCTGTTCAGCCTTGCCCTTGTAGCACAAGAGCAGCCCCGGGCAGCACTTGAACAAATATGTGTGGCTGTGCTCCAGTGAAACTATATATAAACACAGGCAGGGGCCGGGTATAGCCAGTGGGCCGGATCCACTTGCAGAACCCATCCTGGCATGCTCTAGTTTGTCATCTTCTGCTCAGGAGCGTGATGTGAAAGTCAGTGCAGAGGCCAGATGAAAGGGAAGATGGCTGGAGGACAAACAGGAGGATTATCAGAGGAGGCAGGTGCTAAACTATATCAGTGATAGCGTCAGTATTGGAGAAGATGGCAGTGATCTGGGCATTCAAGGGATGATGGGGGTGGAGGTGGTGGGGATGTTGCCGAGGATTTCCGGGGAAAGGAGGTACAGAGATCTGGAAGCAGTAATGAGGGACTGAGAGGAGCCCACCTCACCTCCATCTACCCCAGATGGTCATGGAGAGAAAATGATACCACATCAGAGGGCTACAGCCAGGGCCAGCCTGGTATCAGCAAAGAGCAAGGAGACAAGTAGATGGCCGAGAGAATAACTTGAGGATGGAGCAGCTGTGCTGCTGTTAGACCATGAGAGAGCACAGGAGAGGGCTTGGGAGATGGGGAACAGTGGCTGGTGGGATCAGATGAAAAGATACTGCATGGCTGCAGCACAGCAGGGATGCTAGTAAGAGGTACCAGGAAGTCCACAGCGGCTAAGCTAAACAGGAAAGTCAGGCATGAAAGAATTACGCCTGGTGGTGTTGGGTCAGTTCTAATCATGGGCGAGGTCTCTGGGCAGAACATGAGGGGACAGTGGTGAGGGGTGCAGGAGCGGGCAGCAGAGGGTTGGTTCCTCAAGGCCTGGGGAGCCCTGAGCTTCCTCCATCCCTATTAGTCCTGCTTTAAGGAGTGTCCAGGCACAGAGCATTTGGTGGAAAGTTTTGCCAAAAGCAGAAAACTCCCAACTCCTCCTTTATCCCTGCCAAAAGCAACGTTAAGGTTGTGGGAGGTGTGAGCAGGGTGTTTAAGAGACAGGAAAGGCAAGAGGAGCCAGCAAAGTACATGAGAGCACATCAGAATGAGAATCACAGTAGTTAACATTAATCCCTCCTTATGTGTTAGTTCTTATGTCAAACACTTTATACCACTCTCTCCATCTTCCCGACAACCCTGGAAAGGTATATCCTGGTGTTATTTCCCTTCTACAGATGAAGAAGCTGGTTTAGGTTGTCCAAATTAACACTACTCAGTAAGGGATAGAGTATAATAGTAAAGGTTATCTATTGCTGCATGATGAATTCACCCCACATTCTGAAGATGAAAGCAGCTGCCATCTGTTATCACACGTTTCGAGGGTCAGAGATTGGAGAGCAATGATGTGGGTCATTCTGGCTCAGGGTTGCAGTCAAGGTGTCGGTCAGGCTGGTGTGCTAGAGTCTTTAGGAAGGTGAGAATCTGCTTTCTGGAAGGCCCCCTAAGGTGGCTGTCAATGAGAAGCGTCTGTTCATTGCCACCTAGGCTGCTCAAGTGCCTCACCACAGGGCAGCAGACTTCCTCCAGAGCAGGTGATCCAGAGAGACCACGGAGGGGTCCTCAGAGCCTTCCATGACCCAGTCTTATCATCTTGTGACTCCCTCCGTATTGTCTTGTTAGAGTGGAGTCTCCAGTCACCCAAGGTGGGGGGAGTTAAGCTCCACCTCTTGAAGAAGGGAGTGGCAGAAAACTCCTGGACAGGTTTTGAAACCAGAGAGCAAGGTTTCAAAATGAGGTGTGTCTTATATTTTTTTGCTGCTAAACACTAGCCTTTACTGCCTGAAGTTAAAGGAAGAGTCTGAAAGGATGGGTGTTTTACTACCAAGATGTGCACACAGGGAGTTTATTTGGGGGAACTCTGGTGATCCCCAGCTGCGAGAGAAAATGCAGGTAGGGCTGGGCAGAGAGACAAGTTGAGGTGTGATACAGTGACAGCACAGACCTTAGCCAAGCCACAGAGAGGTCTGTGGCTGTGTGATCCTCCTGAGTTGTCTCCCTTTGATGCCAGCCCGCGGATATCACAACTCGTAAATGCCAGAGCTGGGGATCAAACCTAGAACCAGCTGGGTAAACCCTGGGTGCCACCACGCCCCTGCAGATAGGAGTGGACCCGTCGTACTTCCATGAAGCCCCCAGGAAGGTCCTGGCCCATGGGGACACTGGGCCCTGCTGGATCCTCCTCTCCATCCCCAACCCTCGTCTTTCAGGACATCATCCCCTTTGGCAACAACCCCATCTTCCGCTACCTCTTTGGTTGGATGGTGCCTCCCAAGATCTCCCTGCTGAAGCTGACCCAGGGCGAGACGCTGCGCAAGCTGTATGAGCAGCACCACGTGGTTCAGGACATGCTGGTGCCCATGAAGTGCCTGCCGCAGGCCCTGCACACCTTCCACAACGACATCCATGTGAGCCGGGCGGGGACGCGGCCGGGGCGTGGGGGCGGCAGCGGGGGCCCCAGGCAGCCCTCCTCTGGTCTTCCACCTGTGGAAGGAAAAGTCCTGACCTGCCCTTCCGGCCCCCAGGTCTACCCCATCTGGCTGTGCCCATTCATCCTGCCCAGCCAGCCGGGCCTGGTGCACCCCAAGGGGGACGAGGCTGAGCTCTATGTCGACATCGGTGCCTACGGGGAGCCACGTGTGAAGCATTTTGAAGCCCGGTCCTGCATGAGGCAGTTGGAGAAGTTTGTCCGAAGTGTGCACGGGTGAGCAAGTGCCTGGAGTGTGGATAATGCCCTGGGAGGGTGGGGGAAGGCCAAGACATCAGCTCTGTGGCCAGACCCTTGGGTGCTGAACGACCCCTCAGATTCAGGAAGGGAGTTGGGACAGTCTAAGGAGGTGGAATTACAGGCGTTGTTAGCCTTCCCTTGTATCTGCATCCCCCACCCCTCCACTGAGCATCCCAACAGTACCCCAGCTGCTAGAGCCAGAAACCCAGGAGTTACCCCACTCCCCACTGCAGGACGGGCCATGGGGGTGCTTTAGACATACCCAGGGGCTCCCGCTCCAGGTTGGAGACCAAAAATGTCCTAAAAGACTGTAGGCAAATCTCAAAATAATTATGCTGACTGAAAGAAGCCAGGAAAAAAAAGAGTACTGTATGGTTCTATTTATTTATTTATATATATATATATATATATATATATATTCTATTTATATAAAATTCTGGAAAACGCAGTTGAACCCATGGTGACAGAAGGCAGGTCTGCCTGGGATTGTGGAGGGTGATGGATGGCACCGGGGTATTTGGGCTGTGAGTATGGCTATGGCCGTTGTCTGGACTGAGGTGACTATTTCAAGGTTATAGCCATACATTGAACTTATCAAGCTGCAGTTTTATTTTTTAATATATTAAAAAAATTTGCTTATTTTATATATTTATTTTGTTGAAGTTTAGATGATGTACAGTATTGTATGTCACAGGTATACAATATAGTGATTCACAATTTTTAAAGGTCATGCTCTATTTATTATGGGCTTCCCAGGTGGCCCTACTGGTAAAGAACCTGCCTGCTAATGTAGGAGTCATAAGAACCACAAGTTGGATCCCTGGGTTGGGAAGATCCCCTGGAGTGGGCATGGCAACCCATTCCAGTGTTCCTGCCTGGAGAATCTCATGGAGAGAGGAGCCTGGAGGGCTACGGTCCATAGGGTCCCAAAGAGTTAGACAGGACTGAAGCAACTTAGCATGAACACATGCGCTGTTTATAGTTACTATAAAATAGTGGGTCTATTCCCTGTGTTATACAATATATCCTTGTAGCTTCAAGCTGTACGCTTTCATCACGTGCAGCTTATTGAATGTCAAAAAAGGGAAAGAAAGTGGCCTGGCAAATGCATCAGGGTAGCGGACATGTGGCACACCGCATCCTTCTTACTCTTCCTCCACTGTCACTTAACGCCCTGAGCCCAGACTCCCCGTCTGCAAAATGGGGTTAAAATTCATGCCCCAGCCTCAACCACTAGCTCGTTGTGGGGGCGGCGGGGTGGGGGTGTCAAACAGAAATTCCCCAAAAGCTCGTCCTTCCCTGCAAAGCAGGAAGTGCATTAGGGGTAACTGGAGTTCTCTGCACCCCTTTCCCCTCCCGGGGCCTCTGTGCCCCACCCCTGAGCCCTCACCCCTGTGTCTGCACTGCAGGTTCCAGATGCTGTATGCTGACTGCTACATGGACCGGGAGGAGTTCTGGGAGATGTTCGACGGCTCTCTGTACCACAGGCTGCGGAAGCAGCTAGGCTGCCAGGACGCCTTCCCTGAGGTCTACGACAAGATCTGCAAGGCTGCCAGGCACTGAGCCAGAGCCCGCCCAGGAGGAAGCAGACGCGAGGGGGGACCCTGTCCCCAGGGCCAGAAGGCATCTACCTTTCACTCAAGCTTGGCTGCTCTGCCAGATCCACACTTTGAGAGAGAAACCCCTCCAGAAACACCCCCTACCCACATGGCCTCGACGGCTTGCTCCCAGCTTCCAGGGGCAGCTGGGTGGAGTGGAAATGTGGGATTTGGAGTCAGACAAACCTGAGTCCAATTCCCAGTTCAGCCACTCATTAGCTGTGTGACTCCAGGCGAATCACTGAGCCCCTCGGAGCCCGGCTCCTCATCTGTTGAAAGCAGGGGTGGGTAATGTTCCCTGCCTGCTGTGGCATCTAAGTCAAGCACCCATTGCAGTGGATGTGCTGAAGAATTGACAAATACTACTAGCACAGATTCCTGCTCAGCATGACCTCAGACTAAAGTGCTTTGGATTCAGTGGTTGAGTCCAGGAAGGCGCCACATCAGGTTACCTGGGTTCAGGTTTGGTGGAAAGGGGTGCCCTGGAGTTGCGCTGCCATCACTTGTCAGCCAGAAGAGTTCCTCGCGGAGGGAAGGAAGGAAAGTTCCTTTCCATCACTGGGCTCTTGGGAGGGCAACAGAGGGGGTGGGCAGGCCCAAGACATGCTGTGCCAAAGCCAGGTCTGATTCCAAAGTTCCCTCTGTCTTCCTTGGGGATGCCCTGCCCCTTCTTCCTTCATGCTCAGGGTTGCAGGCCTACCGCAACCATTGCCCGAGTCCACTCAGAGAGGACCGTGTGCTTGTAGAAGACACTTCAGGGTGGAATCCTGTCTGGGCCTGGGGCAGGTGGGGTGAGTGGTTTTGGCTCTGAATCAAATCCACAGGACCTGGGCTCATTCTTGCCTTTCCACCCTCCGTGCTTCTTATCCGCAGAACCTGCTTCAACCTGCTGGGGCGTGTCCTCCACTCTACAGTGGGTCTGGGAGTGGGGCGGGTGGGACCACACCAAGCAGGAAAATGCAGCCTGTCATCCTTAGGTCTCATGGGGATCCTCACTGTGGCGCTGAAAGAAAACAGCATCAACTTGATTTCTACAACCACTCATCCCCTCCTTTTTTTTCTTTTTTTTTTCCTTCCTCTCCCCACCCCCAGCTGTAGTTAATTTTAGTGCCTTACAAATCCTAAGCTCAGAGAAAAGTTAGCTTCGTGTCTGTTCCAGAGGGAAGGAAACCTTCCCAGGCCCCTGCCCACCTATTAAAGCTTGGTTGTTTATGCAACTCCATCTTAAGAACTATCCAGCCTCAGCTGAAAACCCAGACTCTGAGAGGGAATTATGTAAGGGAATTAAGTGAGCTGGGCCAGGCAGTGATGTTCTGGAATAGAGGAGAGCACTGGCTGGGAGCTGGGAGGCCTGGGTTTCAGTCCTGGCTGTATTCTTCACAAGCTCTGCCACCATGGGCAAGTCATTTGTCCCTCTGAGCTGCAGTTTCCTCATCTGTCACATCCATGTACACAAGACCACCCGAGGCTCTTCCGCTTTAGAAGTGCACAGCTGTCTTAAACACAGTGATTGCGAACCCCACAATAAAGCCTCGTCTGCGTGGAAAGTCAGAGGGAAAAGTAAATGATCCAGGTGGGGGTTGTCTGCCATTTAAGATCCTTCCTTCAGCCCAAGGCCAGTTCTCATCTTTTTCAGAAAGGCACACCTGTGGCCTGCAAGGAAGTGTCACTGTTGTCACCACTGGTTGCCAGAAGCCTCCCAGAGTCACACTTTGGCTGCCGAGGCTCACTCCACCCACCCCGGGTTTGGCACACTGCAGTGTCTTGATGTGGTCCTGGGAGTGTCAGGTGCACTCGGGGCACTCAGAAGGCAGAGGAACCACTCTTACCCATTTGGCCTCTGGAGGGGGCATAAAATCAGAAACCTCATTTTCTCGCTTGTATGCAAAGCATGTGAACTCTGGCACTAGCTCTCCCAGTGAGGCCTGTGGGCTTCTTGCTCAGGGGTAAACTGATGATCCTACTTGCTATAGAGGAAGGGTTAACCCAAGCAAGATACGGCCCCATCCTTTCACCAGTGGGACCTCTGTCCCTGGGCCCCTGGGAGTGCGGCCAGAAATGCCAGCAGCCTCTTGTCCTCAGTCCTACAAACCAAAATCCTGCCCTTCACAGACCTTGCCCGGAACCTGGGGCTGGGAGGGAGGGTCTTGGGGTCACACCAGCCTCAGGGTCATGTTTTTTGCTTCAGTGATATCTTGCCTAGAAAGGGGCAGTCTTCCAAGCATGTCGAGCTGAGTTGCCAGCTCTTTCTTGCAGCCAGTCTTGTTACCATCCAGCCAGGTGGTGGTTTCAGGTGGAATTAAACTTGGCACATGGCGGGGTGCGGGGAGCACATGTGAAAAGTATAAGAAGAGGTCTCTCCCTTCCAGAACCCCAAGTTTCTTGGCTGCATGAAGGTTTTCTGTAAGATCTGGATTCTAGCCAGTTTCTTTGGCTGGAAGGATGCATAATTAGCTGTTACGGGAAGGGAGGGGGTGGGGATGGGGGTGGCGGTGTATGCTGTGTGATATTCTTCTAAAATCTTGGGGACCACAGAGAAAGGCGTGGGTCCCCCCAGCAGGCTCTTGCGGCTGCAGGTGCTGTGCCTACTGTCCTGAACATTTCATGTCCCTGTTGCTGTGTGGCTGCTGCTTCTGTAAAAATAAAAGTGTGACCTGGAAAGTAGCCTCTGTCATTGCTTGCTCTGGGGACCACAATGTGGAGGCTCTGCCCCTCACCGGGCCAGTTTCCCTTTGAACCTGCACACCCAGGGCTAGATGATGGCATGGGGGAGGGGCAGGTATATTAGGGCAGAGGGGCCAGGGTGATTTTCTTCCCCATTTTTGAATTTCTATCATTGTCACAATGATCTGGCATAGATGTTAATAATATCTGCCTATTTTCAGGGTAGAGAACAGACTACAGGGGAGAAACTGGGAAGCTAGGAGACAAGTGAGAAGAGTTTAGGTGAGGTGATGGTGACTCAAAGTGGGGCTATGCTTTTTAAGACATCAAACATGACTGTCAGAAGCTCTGGGCCGCAGTCCTGGCTTTGTCACTGGGATGACCTGACCAATTCTGGCAAATCAGTTAATCATGTTGAGACTATTTCCTTGTCTACAGACCAGCAGAGACCACTAACTGTCCACTAAAACCCACTCCTCCCTTTGAGCACACCACTGGACTACACTTCCCAGCCTCCCTTGCCCTCAGGTGTGCCGTTGTGTTAAGAGTCTCTGCAGGACAATGTGAGCTGCAGTGGGGAGGGTCTCCTGGCTCTTCTGGTACTTCGATGCTGGTGACAGCCCAGCCATGGGTGGTGGCAAAGACATGGGGAAGGAGCCTGAATCCCCTAATCGCTGTCTGGAAAACTGCCCACCAACCTAGACTTCGGCCTGGTCTGTTAGGGGAACAAAAAACAAGCTTTTACTGTAGCTGAGTCACTGCCTATTCAGGACTACTTGTTAGAACAGTTTCACTCGCCCTCATTACATGAACAGAGATATAAGGGTTGAGTTTAGGGCAATAAAGCTTTATGCAAATCCTAGATATACGTGATGGACATTTTCCTAAAATATATGTGATGTCAGGGTCCCATCCTACAGTTATTTGAGAGGAACTTTTAGGAAATTCTCTTTCCAGGTGTTCAGTTTCACAAATCAGGATTTGTAAATTCTCCTTGAAGGGAGATCTTTTAATGTCCTAAAAGCAGATTTTGTAGTTGAAGCCTTAAATATCACCTTACATGTGAATAGCATGCAACATACAATATCTTTAATCCTCACAGTCCTGTAACAAAAGTGGGTCAGCTTTATCCCCATTTTATAGATGAGGAAAGTGAAGCTCAGGAAAGGTCAAGTGATTTGCTTGGAGGGCACATCGAGGCTTTTTAATGAGTTAAACAAGGATACAGACTCATCATCTAGTCTTACAACAAAAAAATGCTTCAAGAGCCTCACCCGGAGCCAGCTGAGAGTAGCTCCAGGCCTAGAAACAGTGAAAGGAGACCCTGGGTTGAGTCCCGTATGTAGTGGGGAATCAGGGATCTCTGCATAAACTCAGCTCAGAAAGGAAGCCACTGAGGAATCAGCAGAGGGTTCTGCTTTGACCCAGAGCAGTTCCTTCTGCCAGGGAACCATCTTGCCTGACCATGCCCTCAGCTACATGGGCCATGTCCTGACACCATTCGTGCCAGAGTTGCAACAACTGGTTCTCCAAAATTGGCTTATATAAGAAAGATCCCACGTGTGTGTGCACATACACATACACACTCCCCAAGTTAAATGTAGACCTGTTTTAAAACTATGCTTTCTAGTTATGTCCTGGTGTTAAGATGGCCTACAGGTTTCTTCCTGTGGGACAAGTCTAGTTATTGCAGGTGACTGCCTGGCATACTACCTTGTGAAAGATTGGGAGGCTTGCTGCCGTATAGTCACTAAGTCATGTCTGACCCTTGTAGCCCTGTGGACTGCAGCCCACCAGGCTCCTCTGTCCCTGAGATTTCCCAGGCGAGAGTACTGGAGTGGGTTGCCATTTCCTCCTCCAGGGGATCTTCCCAACCCAGGGATCAAACTTGCGTCTCCTGCTTGGCCAGCAGGTTCTTCACCACTGAGCCACCTGGGCAGACCTCACGAGGTCTAGGAGGTGGCAGGTTCATGCTGTGGACTGGATGTTTATGTCCCCCCACCCCCCCATTCCTATGTTGATGTTCTAACGTAATGGAATTGGGAGATGGGACCTTTGGAAGGTTAATTAGGCCATGAGGTCTGAGCCCTCATGGTAGGAGTAGTGTCCTAGAAAAGCAGATGAAACAGCTGGCCCTCTCGGAGGATACAAGATGTTCATCTGCAAACCAGGAAGAGTGCTCTCATTAGATCTTCCAGCACCTTGGACTTCTCAGCCTCCAAAACCATGTGAAATAAATTGTTGTATAAGCCACCCAATCTATGGTAATTTATTATAGCTGTCTGAACTGCCGATGACAGA